CACTCAAAAAAAAAAAAAAAAAAAAAAAAAAAAAAAAGAAGATGGATGGACCTCTGCAACCTTTGGGTGCCATCACTTTGTTTTATACATATGGAACGTGAACCCAGGGAAGATAAGTGACTTGCTGAAGGCCTTTCCTCTGATTAATGGGAAGATGAATGGGTGTGGGGGTGAACGAGCGCTCTAAAGTTGCAGCCAAATGAAGGTGCCTACTCTTTGGGGGGGTAGGATGGCTGTATTTCAGCATATCACAAATAAGCATAGTGACCTAAGAGGAGGCCTGCAAAGACTGGCTGTAAAGCTAAGAGTTAATCCTTCTCTTATTTCAAGATTCGTCCATTAGGGACTGCGAGACTCTCATAGACTGACGATTTCTTTGCGGGGGACTGTCCATAAGGACCTAAGATTCGTTTTCAGGGTTGAGAATAGCAGGCCAAAATCCACCCTTTAACAAACAGTTCAGACTGGCTGTTTGTTCTAAAGCTCGCTGGTAACTTTTAGGCTTACTCACCCAGATTTGTAAGTTACTTTTAAAAAAATGTTATTTATTTATTTGTCTATTTATTTATTGTGATTTTCAAGCCACTGGGTCTAGGACTCGGACTGCAGTGAGCCATGTAGGAATCCAGCACTTTACCACGCCATCTGCTGGCACCTGTAAGTTACTTTCATCAGCTAAGCAACCTACTATGGAGGGAGAATAAAGGTAAGTAGATTCCGACGTCCCTTGTGCTTGCTTTGGGATATTTATTTCTGACGTATATTCGCATTCCTTAAAGCAACTGCTGAGTGGGTCGCGAGGAAGGCAGTCTGGGCCGTGCTGGGCCGTGGGAAGAAGGCCAGACACATTACAAACATGCTCTCGGTTAGTCACATGCAGGTGTGGCTGCACACTTAACTTCCGGGTTCCTGGAATGCTACTCAGTCTAAATGGCTAATCTGCAAAGATGAACGAAAACTACGATATACAATGCTGGTGAGGCTGTGCGGGTCAGAAAACCGCGGTAGAGGTTGTAATGTTGAACTGGTTTCATTTTTCTAGAAAGCAATTTAGCAGTAAGATTCTAGAATCTTGAAAATATTCCTATCCTATGACCTACGTCTAGTGATGTACCCTGAGAAAGAACCTAGATACCGACAAGGATGGAGTCACAAAGGTGGTCTTTGTAACACAATTTCTACCTAAAACCTCAGAAACAATGACAATACCAAACATTAGGGGACGATCTCAGTGAGTTACATTTCGTCACAGAAGGAGGCGTATTCTACAGCAAGAAAAGAGGCTTTGCAGGCATCTTCTTTAGTTGCCCAGGGCACGTGTGCTTGCCAGACAGAGAGAGGGAGGAGGAGAGGGGAAAAGCACCCCTTGTTGGGGCATGGTCACGCCACAGTCCCCTCTCTAGTTCTCCATCCTGTTGGGACCCTGGGTATACCCACAAGTGCTCGCTCAATATATTCTTCCAGCCCCTGGGGCTGATATTTCAAACTTGTGGGATCCAGTTTACCCAACCGTTAAGCTAAAGTGCTGGCCAGCGAGACCAGCAGGGTTAGCAGTTACATCGCTGACTGTGGTTTGAGTCCCGGACCCAGTGGGTTGAAACTCACACTGGGCACATGTGCGTGCCCAGGATCCAGGGAGGAGAACAGAGGAGAAGGGATTGAAGCGTGGCTATCCCTTCTTAGGGGTGATTTCTCGCTTTCTGTCTCTCTGTCTCTCCAGAGAGAGACACATGCTCTATAGCAAAATCTCTTAAAAAAATAAATAAATAAAAGCAAATCGCCTCCCATACTGTCCAGGACCAGTAGATAGTATAATGGCTAAATTGTTGGACTCCCACAGAGTCAATGGTGGCTCAAGTCCCAGACCTGGCAGCTTAAAATTCACAGTCAGAACATGTGTATGCGTGCCCAAAACCCTGAGAAGAGAATGGAGGAGAAGGGAATGAGGCACGGCCATCGCCCCCAGCCCCCGGGGAAGGGTGATTTCTCGCTTTCTCCCTGTATTTCCAGCAAGCACATGTGCCCTATATCAAAAATCTCTCTTTAAAAAAATAAATAAATAAAAACTAAAGTGCTGGCCAGCATCATCTTTAATGACTTGGGAAAGTGTTTACAATGTAATTGGTAAAAAGCAAGGGATGTTAAATAAATCAAGAAGGATTTTAAAATACATACTAAGCAAACATTGAAAGGAAAACCATGAAAAAAGTGGTAGGAAAAGGGATTTAAAACTGCTTTATAACTTTGCACTTTACAGGGGCCAGCAGGTGGTATTGTGGCTAAGGGCGCTGGACTCCCACATGGCGGACCGCGGTTCAAGTCCCTGACCTGGTGACTTGCTTTCCCCTGCTCTCCCTCTCTCTCACTCAGTCCTTCTCTGGTCAGATTAAAAACAAACAAACAAAAAACTTTATACTTTACAAATTTTCTGTAATGGGTCTACACTGACCTTTTAATTAAAAAAAAATAGTAACAAAATCTAAGCCCCTAACAATTCTAAAACTAGAAAAATGAAATAAATTCTATAAGAGGAGGTAAAAAGGAATAAAGGTAAAGGAGATATTCATGAGTGTGAAAGCAAAGACAAAACAAAAAACAAGTTCCAGAACGAATAAATAAAGAACGTTGTTCTTCGAAAAGGCTGATTAAATGGACAAGCCTCTCTGGCAAGGCTGAATAGAGAAAAAAAGAGAAAACACAAATATATAACATTAGGAATATAGGATGATGAAAAAGAAGACAAAGAGATGATTTTAAATGACAAAAGAATATCATATGTATTTTATGTCAACTAATTTATAGTTAGGTGGGGCCAGCAGGTGGCGTGGTAATTAAGGGAGCGGGACTCCCACATGGCCAACCACAGTTCGAGTCCCAGACCAGGCAGCTTGCTTTCTTGCTTTCTCTCCCCATCTCTGGTCTAATTAAAATAAATAAATAAAGCTAAATAGTTCTTAAAAAATGTATAGTTAGGTGATATGAATAATTTTTTAGAAAACTTTTATATGGATAAAGGTACCTTAAATGAATGGAAAAAATATTTGCATATTATGAATGGTTATAACCATAATAAAAAATACTCCAAATCAATTTAAAAAACCACAGCCCGAAAAAAAAAAACAAAAAAAAACCCACAGCCTGAAGAACACAAATAGAAGAAATAAAATTTACAAAAGAATTAAAATTAACTTCACCCTTTGCTAATTAAAGAAATACAAATTAAAATGATTAAATATTACTTTTTAACTGTATTGACAAGAATTAAAAAATTGATACTATCCATTTTTTTTTAGTTTTTATACTATCCAATTTTGATAAGAGTGTAAAAAGAAGTTCTTCCCCGGGATCAGCAGATGGCATAATGGTTATTTCACTAGACTCCCACGTAGTTAGTTGACTGCAGTTGAGCCCCAGACCCAGCGGCTTCAAACTCATGCTGGGCGCGTGTGCGTGTGTGCCCAAAATTCCAAGAGGAGACTAGAGGAGAAGGGACTGCAGCATGGCCATCACCCCTGGGGGGTGATTTCTCACTTTCTGCTTCTCAGGCAAGTGCACACACCCTATAGCAAAAATCTCACTAAAAAAAAAAAAAAAAAAGTTCTGTCTCTCATGGTCTATTGTTTTCTAAAAGTACAGACTAGCATATTTTTTTGTTTTTCTGTTTGTTTGTTTTTTGGAGAGGTTTTCACTATAGGGCGCGTGCGCTCGCCAGAGAGAGAGAGACATAGAGACAGAAAGAGAGAAATCACCCCCCAGGAGGGGATGGTCACGCCGCAATCCCTTCTCCTCCATTCTCCTCTCGGGATCTTGGGCACACACGCATA